TTACTATGAAAGTTTATATGCCACAAAGTTGGAAAATGTAAAAGAAATGGACATTGTTTTAGATAAGTACCATATACCAAAGTTTAACCAAGAACAGGTGAACAATCTAAATAGACCTGTTAGTTGCGAAGAATTAGAAGCTGTTATCAAAAATCTCCCTACCAAAAAAAGCCCAAGACCAGATGGTTTCAATGCATAATTCTACCAGAACTTCCAGGAAGAGCTAATACCTATACTCCTTAATATAGAAACAGAAGAATCATTGCCAAACTCTTTTTATGAAACTACAGTTACCCTGATACCAAAACCACACAAAGACACAACCAAGAAAGAGAATTACAGACCAATCTCACTCATGAACATTGACGCTAAAATACTCAATAAAATACTGGCAAACCAAATCCATGAGTACATTAGAAAAATTATCCATTATGATCAAGTGGGCTTCATCCCAGAGATGCAGGGCTGGTTCGACATATGCAAATCTATCAATGTAATCCATCATATAAATAAACTGAAAGAAAAAAAACCATATGATCATTTCATTGGATGCTGAAAAAGCATTTGACAAAATTCAACACCCATTTATGATAAAGGTGTTGGAGAGATTGGGTATACGAGGATCATACCTAAATATAATAAAAGCAATATATAGTAAGCCGACAGCTAACATCAAATTGAATGGAGAGAAACTCAAAGCCTTTCCACTAAAATCAGGAAAACGACAAGGCTGTCCACTCTCTTCATACCTCTTCAATATAGTGCTTGAAGTCCTAGCAATAGCAATAAGACAACATAAGGGGATCAAGGGGATTCGAATTGGAAAGGATGAAGTTAAACTTTCGTTATTTGCAGACGATATGATAGTGTACATAAGCGACCCCCAAAACTCTACCAAAGAACTCCTACAGCTGATAAACACCTTTAGTAATGTGGCAGGATACAAGATCAACTCCAAAAGATCTGTTGCCCTCCTATACACAAAGGATCAAGAAGCAGAGAGGGAAATCAGAGAAACATCACCTTTCATGACAGCCACAAATAGCATAAAATATCTTGGGGTAACTCTAATCAAGGAAGTGAAAGACCTATTTGACAAGAACTTTAAGTCTTTGAAGAAAGAAATTGAGGAGGATACCAGAAAATGGAAAGACCTCCCCTGCTCTTGGATTGGGAGAATCAACATAGTAAAAATGGCAATTCTACCAAAAGCAATCTATAGATTCAATGCAATTCCCATCAAAATCCCATCAAACTTCTTCACAGACCTTGAGAGAACAATAATCAAGTTTATATGAAAAAACAAAAAACCCAGGATAGCTAAAACAATCTTATACAATAAAGGAACTTCTGGAGGCATTACCATCCCTGACTTCAGACTCTATTACAGAGCAACAGTATTGAAAACAGCTTGGTATTGGCATAACAACAGAGAAGTCAACCTATGGAATCGAATAGAAGACCTGGGTATTAACCCACAAACGTATGAACACCTGATATTTGACAAGGGAGCTAAAGGTATACAATGGAAGAAGGAAAGCATCTTTAACAAATGGTACAGGCATATCTGGATGTCAACCTGTAGAAGAATGAAAATAGAACCATATCTATCACCATGCACAAAGCTCAGGTCCAAATGGATTAAAGACATCAACATTAATCCGACCACTTTGAACCTGATAGAAGAGAAAGTGGGAAGTAGTCTACAAGATATAGGCACAGGAGACCACTTCCTAAGCAGAACCCCAGGAGCGCAGACAATAAGAGAAACAATGAATAAATGGGACCTACTGAAACTGAGAAGCTTCTGCAAAGCAAAGGACACTGTCAGTAAGACAAAAAGGCTACCTTCTGACTGGGAGAAGATCTTCACAAACCCTTCATCAGACAAAGGTCTGATCTCCAAAATATACAAAGAACTCAAGAAACTAGACACTAAAACTCTAATTAACCCAATTAAAAAATGGGGTACTGATCTGAACAGAGAATTCACAACAGATGTACTTCGAATGGCCGAAAGACACTTAAGGTCATGTTCAACCTCCTTAGCGATCAGGGAAATGCAAATCAAAACAATTTTGAGATTTCATCTTACACCTGTCAGAATAGCCAAACTCATAAACACCAATGATAGCCTATGCTGGAGAGGATGTGGAATGAGGGCAACACTCATCCATTGTTGGTGGGAAAGCAAACTTGTGCAGCCACTGTGGAAATCAGTGTGGTGGTTTCTCAGGAAACTGGGAGTCAACCTCCCTCAGGACCCAGTAATTCCACTCTTGGGAATATACCCAAGAGATGCCCTAACATACTACAAAAGCATTTGTTCAACTATGTTCATAGCAGCACTATTTGTAATAGCCAGAACCTGGAAACAACCTAGGTGCCCCTCAATAGAAGAATGGTTAAAAAAAAGGTGTGGAACATATACACATTAGAGTTTTACTCAGCGATAAAAAACAATGAAATCTTGAATTTTCCATGCAAATGGATGGAAATAGAAAATGCTTTACTGAGTGAGGTAAGCCAGACCCAAAAAGAGGAATATGATATGTATTCACTCATATGTGGATTCTAACCACAATTAAAGGTGTTTGAGCCTATTATTCGTGATCCTAGAGAAGCTAAATAAGAAGGTGAACCTGATGAAAATCATGTAGCTATCTGTCTGGAGATTGGAAATAGACAAGTGTCCCAGGAAACCTCGGTTGCATGGGGGCGGTGGGAGGGTTGTTGGAAGGGGAGACGGTTAGAGAGATGGGAGTAGGGGAGGAATGGGGAAAGCTTGGTGGACTGGGATGGGGGGGAGGGAGGAAGGATGGATATGGGATCAGGGAAAAATATATTTCAACTAAGGGAGTCCTTTTAGGGTTTACAGGATACTTGATTATAAAGGGGATCCCAGGTCCAAGGAGAGATCCCCAGATTGATCTCTGGACAGAAGAGAGGGTGCCTGAAACGGCCTAGGCCCATAACCATACTGATGAATATTTTGCTTATCACCATAGAACCTTCATCTGGCGATGGATGGAGATAGAGACAGAGACCCACATCGGAACACTGGACTTAACTCCCTAGGTCCAAACGAGAAGCAGAAGGAAAGAGAACATGAGCAAAGAAGGCAAGACCAGCGGGAACCTTCATCCAAAGATGGATGGTGATACAGACGGAGACCCACATTGGAGCACCGGACTGAGCCCCCCAAGGTCCAAATGAGGAGCAGAAGGACGAAGAAAATGAAAAAGGAAATAAGGACTGCGAGGGATGCGTTCACCCACTGATACAAGGGGACGGATCTAATGAGAGTTTACCAAGGCCAGTTGGACTGGGACTGAATGAGGACGCGATCCAACCAGATTCTCTGAATGTGGCCAGATTCTCTGAATGTGGCTGGCCTGGAGTCTTTCTGAAAAGCCATTGACAATGACACTGGGACTTGTTTCCTCTGCATATACTGGATTTTGCAGATCCAGTCTGCTTGGACATTCACCTTTCTGGACCTGGAGGGAGGGGTGAGGAACTTGAACTTCCCACAAGGCAGGAATCCCTGACTGCTCTGAGGGATGGAGAGGGAGGAGGAGAGGGAGTGGGGGGAGTGGGAGGGTGTTGTGGGAGGGACGGAAATGGAAACTTTTATAATTTAATAAAATTACTTTCAAAAAAATTATTATTTGTAAATACAAAGTTCTGTCTCAGATGTGTAGATTTTATTTCTTAAAGTGTTATACATAATACTGGAACAAATATTTAGTGCATTTTTTCTGATTTTTTCCTTAGGGTATATACCTGCTGGTGGAACTAATAAAATTTCTTTGAATTATGTAAAAAATAGAATAGCATTTTGAGAAACAAATTTTGTCAATAAAGAAATACTACTAAGACAAATTGAAAAATAAAAGAAGCTCCCACAGAAACATGGCAGTCATGAAGAAAGACTCATAAGTGAAAGTTTTGACATTTGGAGGAAGGAGTTTTTCTGAAGACGCTTGTGTAAGCTGGCTCTTTGCTCTCTTCAGGTCTGTAAAGAAGAGTCCCAGATTATCTCCCCAGTTCCAAATGATAACTAACATTGCATTTTCTAACAACAAGTACCAGTGGTCACAATGACATTTACAGAAAAGAACTAAAAAAAAGGTTGCAGTTTACATGTGATGTAGAGCATGACATAACACGTGAATTCTACATACCAGTCAAAATTGCTTCCTTTGTTATTGCTGTCCTGTACAGTTAACCTTCAAACATTGTTTCAAGACACCAATGACCTTTTAAGTAAATGGGCAGTGTAAATCCATCATTTAAATCTTTAGAAGATAAAAAGAACAGATTTTAATGATCACACAGTCCAAAATCCAGTTTCTAATTACCATGACACAATAACGTTAGGAAAATTTAAATATTTATTTATTTTGTTTATGTACATGAGTGTTTTGCCTGCATTTGTAATTGAATACCATGTATGTGACTGGTGCTCAAGTAGATCATAAGAGAGAGTCATTTACCCTGGAACTGGAGTTACAGATGGTTGAGAAACACTATTTTTGTTCTGAAAATCAAACTTGGATCTGCTGTAAGAACAATAAATAAGTGCTTTCTGGTCCTGAGCCATCAATTTAGGCCTGAATATTATCTTACTCCAAATTCAAATCAGTGAATATAAACTGGATAAACTGGTAAAATCTACTTCTTGCCTTTAATTCATAGTATGGTAAAAAACCAAAACAGAGAACACACCAATTATTCTACTATAAAATTTTCATGTCAGATTGAATCCTAAGAATGACAACCTTTGATATATTAATGACCATTACTTATATCCTTAAAGGCAACTTAAAATTGACATGTGCCTTATGAATGATTTCAAGTATGAGAACGCTAGTGACTTCTGGGAAGTAAGAGACCCTAGTTTGTTTCTGTCATCTAAGGGGAGGAGTTTCTTGACACAAGATCATTATCTGTGAGAAGTAAAATCTACATAAGTTCATCATTTGATGTCATTTCATCATTTCTTTGTGTGAAGAGTCAAGAACATTACTTGGGTGACACTAAAGATGAACACTTCTCCAGCTTTAGTGACTATGATGCTGCTATTCATACTTGGTAAGTGAAGTGACTTAAAATTTATGATCTTTCTTCTATGAACTTTGTTATTAATGTAACACATATCCTCTTCTCTCTCTAGGAAGAACTCATGGAGACTCAGTGACCCAGAAACAAGGTCAAGTCACTCTCTCAGAAGACGACTTCCTATTTATAAACTGCACTTATTCAACCACAGGGTACCCAAGTCTATTCTGGTATGTCCAATATCCTGGAGAAGGTCCTGAGCTGCTTTTGAAAGTCACAACAGCCAACAACAAGGGAAACAACAGAGGTTTTGAAGCTACATATGATAAAGAATCCACTTCCTTCCACTTACAGAAAGCTGCTGTCAAAGAGTCAGACTCAGCTGTGTACTACTGTGCTCTGAGTGACACAGTGACAGAAACTGCAGGGGGAGCTGAGTACAAACTCAGAGGAGCAAAAGAAAGTTTGGCTTCTGATGATCATGGAAACAATGAAGTTCTCAGTTGCCTTGATCTCCATATACAAGTCATTGTCTTCACTCAAGTAATTCACAATGAGCTAAATATGGCAGGAAATGTGGCGTCTAGATTATGTCTATTTAATACTATAGAAGGACAGATTATCTAAGGGTAACAACCCTTCCATACCTCACGATTTCTAATAAAGTAATGTGGGTAGGATGGACAGAACAAAGGGATGTAGGAGCAGGTAGGTGATCTTCAATGTCCCTCCTCCTCTCTAAATCAAAACTCCCAGTCGCATCCCCAGTACATCTGTGGGTATATCTTTGGTATATCTTTCTATACAAGACTTCTACTATGCCCTCTCCTCCCTCTTTGCCCCCATTCCCAGAGCACTAAGGAGTTTCTATTGGTACATCCTGATTTCTTCCCTGCTTTCTTCATTCCAACCCTCTTCTAGCCAATTTCCATGCCTAAGTGTCAGCATCCAATATGAAGAACCTTATTGTATCAGGAAGCCTACTTGCAACATCTGGCAGAGTATCAGCCTACCAGGCAAACCAGAGTCACTACACTCTCTTAATAACCAGAGAGGGCAACATAAAGTAAAGAACAGCAACAACCAATAAAGACAAGATCAGATTTCAGCACCAGGGTTTGCAGTGATCCCAAACCCAAATGCCTGGATTCTAGCATAAAAACAGTCAGTAACAGCCACATGACATGTCTCCAGTAAAACCCAGAAACACTATTACAGTAGACCCTGAGAAAAACAATATAGTTGGAACACAATACAATAAGTTTAGAATAGATGTTATGAATATGCTATAGGTGTTCAAAGCAGAATGAATAACCCCCCTAATTAATCTATGAAAGCACAAAGAAGTAGTGGGATGTAGTGAAAAAAACAGTTCAAGACTTGCAAGAAGAAATAGAATCAATAAGGAAAACAGAAAGTAAGGGAAGCATGGAAAACAAAATTTAGTAACTCAAACAGGAAGCTCAGTGTCAAATTTCACCAAGAGATTATAAGAGATGAAATAAAATAATCTAAACCAATGGAGATAATGATAGGAAAAAACATTTCCTTGGTCTAACAAAATGTTGAATCTAAAAATTTTTAGGCACAAAACATTGGAGAAACCTAGGACACTTTGAAAAGACAAAATCTGGAGAAGCGACTCAGGTCAAAGGCACAGAAAATATTTGAACAATATCATAGATAAAAATTACCACAATCCTCAAAAAGGATATGCCTATCAAGATATATGGAGCATACAGAACACCAAATAGACTGCACCATAAAAAAACTGTCATGGCACTTAATATTAATATTCAGAACAGTTAATGTATGGAACAAAAAGGAATATAGAACAGTACAAGGGAAAAACAAAGGCAGGCATAGTTTAATAATAGCTTAAATAATACCAGTTTTCTTAATAGACAATCTAAAGTCTAGAAGACCCTGGGCAGATGTTGTACTACTTTAAGATACCACAGGTGCCATTTAGACTATTATACCCAACAAAACTTCCAATCACCATAGATGGAGTAAGACATTCAATGATAAACCAAGTTAAACAAAATCTATCTACAAATCCAGCCCTACAGAAGGCACTAGAAGGAAAACTGAAACCTAAAGAAGATAACCACACCACAGAAAACACAAAGAATAAATAATGTCAACCATCAAATCAAAAAAAGGGGAACCCCCCACCAGTACCTCAAAACAAGTAAACAAACACTCAAAAACTCTCAAGGAAAATGTTCTAAATTTCCTAATAAAATAGTAGCTATTCTTATGCTGCATTCCAGACAGACACATTAACATCAAACACAGACTTCACCTTTGAATAAAAGAATAGGAAAAAATGCTCCAAGCATTTGAAACTAAGAAGCATGCCAGTGTAGCCATTTGAACTTCTGACTAAACAGACCTCAAACCAAACCTAATCATAAGAGATATGGAAAGATACTACATAGTCATCAAAGGAAAAAAATCATAAAGAGTACACTGTAATTCTTAAAATGTATGTACCAAAAACTAGGACTCCCAAGTTTGTGAAATAAACACTGCTACAGCATAAATCACATATTGACAGTTAGCACACTGTTAGTGAGAGACTCCAATATCCCTTTCTCACCAATAGACAGGTCCTCCAAACATAAACTAAACAGAAATACTGGAGCTAACTGACAACACAAAATAAATTGATAAAACCAATATTTAGAGTACATTTCTCCCAAACAGAATATATCTTCTTTCCAGAACCTCATAAAAGTTTCTTCAAAATAGACCCTAGACTTGGACACAAGTCTTAATACATTTAGCAAAATAGAAATAGAATATTCCATACTTTCTTACCACCATTAATGCCACCAACAACAGAAAGAAGAATTTACACACTGATTACAACTGAACAAGTACTACTAAAATAAAAAATGGTCAAGAATAAAAATGAAAATCTTTCTGGAACTGAAGAATTATGGGAACACTACATACCCACACCAAATGGATATAGGGAAGCGAATTCTGAGGTAAGTTCAAAGCACTAAGTGTACACCTAAGAAAATAATGAAGAGATCTTGTATTACCAACTTAACAGCACACATGATAGCTCTAGAACACAAAAGGAAGAAATAGCGACCAAAGTATAGATGGCAAGAAATAACCAATTTGAGTTTTGTTTGTTAGTCTATGGCTCTTTAGGGGACCATAGTATGTAAAAGTGGCCCAAATAAGTTTAAGGTGTATGTGTGTTTTGTGTGAACATGAACATTTTCTTTTTTTTTTATTTATTAAAAATTTCCACCTACTCCTCTCCTCCCATTTTCCTCCCACTTCTCCCATTCCCCCTCCCATTCCCTCTCCAGTTCGAAGAGCAGTAAAGATGCCCTGCACTGTGGGAAGTCCAAGGTCCTCCCTTCTCTATCCAGGTCTATAAAGGTGAGCATCTAAACAGACTAGGCTCCCGCAAAGCCAGTCCAAGCAGTAGAATCACAACTCAGTACCATTATCCTTGGATTCTCAGTCAGCCATTATTGTCAGCCATATTGAGAGTCCGGTTTGATCACATGCTTATTCAGTCCCAGTCCAGCTGGCCTTGGTGAGCACCCATTAGATCAGTCCCACCGTCTCCATGGGTGGACACACCCCTCGCGGCCCTGACTTCCTTGATCATGTTTTCCCTCCTTCTGCTCCTCATTTGGACCTTGGGAGCTCAGTCCAGTGCTCCAATGTGGGTCTCTGTCTCTATCTCCATCCATCGCCAGATGAAAGTTCTATGGTGATATGAAAGATATTCATTAGTGTGGCTATGGGATAAGGAGAGTTCAGGCACCCTCTCCTCTGCTGCTCATGAAACAAGATGGGGACATCTTCTTGGACACCTGGGATCCCCTCTAGAGTCAAGTCTATTGCCAACTCTAAAATGGCTCCCTTAATTAAGATATCTACTTTCCTGCTCCCATATCTGCCCTTCCTCCATCTTAACCATCCCATTCCCCCAAGCTTCCCCAATCCTCCCCTTTTCCCTTCTCTATCCCCATCTCCCCTTACCCCCACCTCAAACCCACACCTGTGCTCCCAACATATGCCTGACAATCTTGTCTTCTTCCAATATCCAGGAGGATAACTATATGTTTTCCTTTGGGTTCACCTTCTTTTTGAGCTTCTCTAGGATCAGGAAATACACGCTCAATGTCCTTTATTTATGGGTAGAATCCACTTACGAGAGAGTACATACCATATTCATCTTTTGGGGTCTGGGTTATCTCACTCAGTAAAGTGTTTTCTATTCCCATCCATTTGCATGCAAAATTCAAGATGTCATTGTTTTTCTTTACCACTGAGTAAAACTCTAACGTGTACATGTGTCCCACCTTCTTTAACCATTCTTCTCTTGAGGGTCACCTAGGTTGTTTCCAGGTTCTGGCTATTACAAATAATGCTGCTATGAACAGAGTTTAATAAATGCTTTTGTAGTTTGATTGGGCATCTCTTGGGTATATTTCCAAGAGTGGAATTGTTGTATCCTGAGGTAGGTTGACTCCCAGTTTCCTGAGAAATCGCAACACTGATTTCCAAAGTGATTGCACCAACAATGGATGAATGATCCCCTTAAGGCAATCCTCTCCAGCATAGGCTATCATTGGTGTTTTTGATTTTAGCTATTCTGACAGACATAAGATGGTATTTCAATGTTGTTTTGATTTGCATTTCCCTGATCGCTAAGGAGGTTGAGCATGAACTTAAGTGTCTTTTGGCCATTTGAACTTTTTCTGTTGAGAAATCTCTGTTCAGTTCAGTACTCCATTTTTAAACTGGATTAATTAGAGTTTTAATGTCTAGTTTCTTAAGTTCTTTATATATTTTTCAGATCAGACCTTTGTCTGATGTGGGGTTGGTGAAGATCTTCTCCCATTCTTTAGGTTGCCTTTTTGTCTTAATGACAGTCTCCTTTGCTTACAGAAGCTTCTCAGTTTCAGAAGGTCCCATTTATTCATTGTTGCTCTTATTGACTGTGCTAATGGGGTTTTATGTAGGAAGTCCTCTCCTTTGCCCATGTGTTGCAGACTAGTTCCCACTTTCTCTTCTCTCAGGTTCAGTGTATTCAGATTTATATTGAGGTCTTTAATCCATTTGGACTTGAGTTTTGTGCATGGTGATAGATATGGATTTATTTTCATTCTTCTGCAGGTTGATATCCAGTTAAGTCAGCACCATTTGTTAAAGATGATTTCTTTCTTCCATTGTATAATTTTAGCTTCTTTGTCGAAAATCAGGTGTTCATAGGTTTGTGGATTAATATCTGGGTCTTCGATTTGATTCCATTGGTCAACATTTCTGTTTTAGTGCCAATACCACGCTGTTTTCTTTCTTTAGTTTTTAATTCACACCTGTTGATTTTGATAGAACCAACGTGAGAAAGAACATGTGACATTTGTCTTTCTGGATAAGAGTTGTCATTGAAGGGTGTGTATTGGCTTCAGTCATTTTGTTGTATTTAACCATTTGTGTTCTTAGGCATATTTTGCACTTCAGTGATTATCCCTTCATTATTTTCTATATTTCTTGGCCATATTTATACATCTCTTTAGCCTAAAGTATTGCTTCTAGAATCCTCTGTATGAATGGCCTCATGGTCTTGAAGTCTTTTAATCTAT